GTTCTGGTTTTAAAGCCATTTGTCACCAGAGTGCAGGTGTTTACAGGCCTGGGGTTAACTCCGTCTAGACAACCTCCACGCCTTCTCCATCTTTATGTGACTCCAGCTTTTTTATTTCAACTCTAACTGTCCCTTTGCCTTAGTATTTTGCTTCCTGATCTCTGATGGCGTGGCTGATCTAATTTAGGAGTCTAGGCTCTCCCAACACAGCTTCATAAAGAGCAGGGCAGAGAATGGGTAAGAGCAGAGAGTATTAAAAACGGTTCCCTTCTGAGCCGACACTGTGAGTGCATACTTGCTCATACAAAGGCTGATCCTCTGAGCAGAATTAAGGGCTTAAATGGATAAAGGGAGACTGAATTATCCGTGTGATGCAGGGAAAAGACTTGCTGACTTAATTCCATGGGAAAAAGAACACTAGCAACTGTTTCAAACAGACTGCCGTGAAGGCAAAGGTGGTGTCCCCGTTTGTTCTGGTGTATTTGTGTATCTGGTTGTTGACACTTTCACTCAGCTCATGCTCCGAGGACAAGGAAAGGTGTGCCAAGGACAACAGGCTGCTCAGGGAAACTGCCCGGCCCTGTGTGCCTCTCTTCTTAGTCTCGCTGATCAAGGAATGCAGAAGTGGACTAACAGGCAGCTCAAGGATGATTTTATTAGATGCTGGGTGGGGGCAGCACATGGTACAGGTTAGCTGAAAACCTAGCAGCCATTGGGAAGGGAGGCGGAGGGAGAGTCACGCCTCCTAAGGTAGGCATGGGACGGAAACACACAGCTTGTTAAGGAAGGAAAAGGAACCAGAATGGGGCGGGCTGTCGGTCGAGCTGAGGAAAGAGCTCCGGAGCCGGCATCTTCCCGCTTTCACAGGGTACCCTTGATGGGGCTCACCCGCGGCTGCCCCAGGCCACGTGCTCCCCTCCCCCTTCACACAATGGTGTCTACTGGGTTATTGCTTTTTTTTTTTTTTTAAAGAGACAGGGTTTCTCTGTATTGTTTTGGAGGCTATCGGTCCAGCCCGGCCTCGAACTCACAGAGATCCGCCTGCCTCTGCCTCCGGAGTGCTGGGATTAAAGGCATGTGCCACCACCGCCTGGCGGGTTATTGCTTTTTCAAGTTTTTTTGGGGGGGGCGTTGAGACAGGGTTTCTCTGTGGCTTTGGAGGCTGTCCTGGAACTTGCTCTATAAACCAGGCTGGTCTCGAACTCACAGAGATCCGCCTGCCTCTGCCTCCCGAGTGCTGGCATGAAAGGCGTGCCTCCACCGCCCAGCAGTGCTTTCCCCTTTCCGTGGATTGCCGCTGGAGACTGTGAGGCCTGAGTGGGGACCTGGTGTGCAGGGCTCATCCGCGGCTGCCCCAGGCCACGTGCTCGCCTAGCTACTGTGCTGGTTCTCGCTGTCCTATGCTTGAATTCTTGTTTCGCTTTGAACTCACAGCCATATGTTTTTCAGTTTGTACCAAGGAAAGACAGCAGTCTAATCGCAGTTGTGAAATTAAGTCATTTTGCAATTTCACTTCAAGGCCATTTTTCCCCCACACTGGCCTTCCATTCATGAGAAGAAATCTTATATATGCTGGTCCATTTTTTGAGAACGCTAAAATGCCTATTTAAAAACTCTAATTTAAATGCTAACTTATTCAAAGTGTAGAATATGAATACGGACCTTTCTCTTATATACAGAAGCCAACTGAAGGCAAAAATGTAATATATAAAACTGCTTATGATCTCACTGTGTTACACAGAAGGAAGCTTCTTCATTGCACTTGGAACAATTACAAAGCATACTAGCATCAACTAATGGGTTCACATAGGTGTTCAGCGCAAGGACTTAAATCTATAAGATGTTTTTACTAGCATCCAATACTGACCTGGTTCTTCAAGTTTGGGGTTTTTTTTCCCTGTAGTTTAGTATGTAGTACTATCAAACAAAATAGTTTAATTTGTTTGTCAATAATTGCCTTCTTCCTTACATAATTTATTTAAAGTTATGTTAAATGTGTCCCTTATTAGTCCTATAAGGATTATATAACATACAATAATAAATACAAATTTCGTAACACAGTATTTTAGAAAGTATAATTTTAGTTTCAAGTAATCTTTTGATGTTATAAAAAGTACAGGTGATCTAAGTTTTTAAGGTTTCCATTTTTGGGTGTAGTTTTCTGTGTGTATCAATGCTATATGTACGTGCATGTTCCTGTATGTGTGCGTGTAGAGGTGTAGTGCGTGCATGTGTGCGTGTGTGTGTGGAAACCAGAGGTCAGCCTCACTGAAGGACTTCCTTGGTTCTCTCCCGCTTACTTTTTGCTTTGAGATGGAGTCTCTCACTGGCCCTGAGCTGGCTGAGGCAGCTGGGCTGGCTGGCCACAGAGCTCCAGAGATCAGGGCTCCTCAGCACTGGGATTACAGATGTGAGCTCAGTGTTGGACTTTTCACGTGGATTCTGGGGTCACATGAACTCGGGTCCTCGAGCTTTACTGAGGAAGCCATCACCTTGGACACTCGTGGTTTTGTTTTTCTTTCTTTCTTTTGTTTCTAAAGGGAGGATGCTAGCTACTGTGTTGTAAATCCCCTCTTCCTTAGACAGAGGACTGAGGCTCACAGAGGACCGACACCTGCCAGGTGGCAGGTTCCAGTTGGAAGCTCAAGATGACGTCATTCTCTTCTCAGTCCCTTTCCCTGACTGGACCGGGGGCTGGAGGGAGGGGCGGAAGGGTTGCTGAAGACAACCACAGCCTGGAGACTTATGAGGGTGAGAGGGACTCCAAGCCGTTAATGCTCCTGACTCTAAGAAGGGAGCATTGCTACCAGAAGGAAGGGAAGGGGGGTAGAAAAGAGAGTTTTTCTGTGGCATGGTTTAGGTAAAACGGTCCTAGGATCAATTTTGGACCTTGCTGAGCCACAAGTCACATTAAGACTTCTGAAAAGGACTGCCACAAACCTCTGAAAACACAAGGCTGTGGAGAGCCAGTGCAGGAAGTGCACCCTGGGAATCAATACAGGTGCAGATAAAAGCCAAACAGGAAGGCGCCAAGGAAGCAGACCCAGAGAGAGGGAAAATGTGACTGAAGACTTGGGAAATAACCCGCATGCAAGTTTGAAGAGGAAAAATTACAAGGGGGAAAAAACAAAATTAAAAAATCACGTCAAAGGAGACCCAGCATCACACTGATAGTGGGATCCAGAGCTGGGGAGCGAGGCTGAAATGTCTCGCGTTTGTTCTGGGCACCTCCTGTCAGGTAGTGTTCTGGGCGACACAGAGACGTCAGCTCACACATTCATGCTGCAAACGAGGCCACAAATGTGTGGCGGTTTCAGCTCTCTGTCCTGACACAATTCCTTCCGGTCTCCCGTCAGTTTCCATTTTCTTCCTTAAATATTTTATGTCGTTTGTGTGTGTACACATGCGTGTGTGCATGCATGTGTGTGAGTGTGTGCATGTGTATATGTGTGAGTGTGTAGAGTGTGAGTGTATGTGTATGAGTGTGTGTGAATGTAAGTGTGTGTCTGATGAGTGTGAGTATGTATATGTGTGAGTGTGTATATGTGTCAGAGTGTGTATGTGTGTGAGTGTGTACAAGTGTGAGTGCATGTATATGTGTATGTGTATAAGTGTGTATGTGTGTGAATGTATACAGGTGTGAGTGTATGTTTATGTATATGTGTGTAAATGTGTATGTGTTTTTGTGTGTGAGTGTATGTATGTATATGTGTGTAAATGTGTATGTGTTTATGTGTGTGGGTGTATTTGTGTGTGAGTGTGTACAAGTGTGAGTGTATATATATGTGTGTAAATGTGTATGTGTATATGTGTGTGAGTGTATGTGTGTGAGTGTGTATATGCATGTGTGTATATGTGTGTGAGTGTGTATATGTGTGTGTATATGTGTATGTGAGTATATGTGTGTGAGTGTGTATATGTGTGTGTGAGTATATATGTGTGTGAGTGTGTATATGTGTGTGTATATGTGTGTGTGAGTATGTGTGTGTGTGAGTGTGTATATGCATGTGCATGTGTGTGTATGTGTGTGAGTATGTATATGCGTGTGCATGTGTGTGTGAGTGTATGTGTGTGTGAGTGTGTATAGGCATACGCTCTAGTGCCACAGCTTGCATGAGGATCCTGAGGATAACTTGGTGGAAGGTGCTTTCCTCTTCCCGTCACAGGGTCCTGGGGATCAAATCTAGGCTGTCAGCCGCGGCGATGAAACCTTTTCCGCTGAGCCACCTCCCAGCTCGCGGAAGCAGTTGTCTTTAAACTGGAGACTCTTGCTTTAAACCGCTGTAGTCCTAAGCTTCTTCCCGTGCTCAGGGGTGAAACACACCACTTCGCAGCCACATTAAACACTGGGTAGTTTTAAAACCTATCCACGTAGCTTGGCGGTATTTCATGAAGGACTCTGGACTGCCTGGTGCTGTGTGACAAGGAACGGAACACAGAGTGCAGGCCAGACAGACCCGTATGCAACTCTGACCCTAGTGACTGTGTGAGCTCAAAGTACAAAATACACTTGATGTCTATGGCCTTGTAGAATGCTATAACGTTTAATACTATTATAAGGAAATAGTTTAGGCCTTTAACATAGGGTAGCCAGCTTTAAAATAGCAACGGGGAATGGTAACAGTGAGTGCCTGGATCTGCTGCAGACAGCTGTGGCCCAGTGGTCATCTCTCCTCCAAAATCAAGTTATGTTTACTCTAGTAAAGTTCAGACTGCATTTGTTCTTTATGCAACCTGGAAATGTATGTGAGCACAGGCGGAAAAGATGTTTTCTGAAGCATAAAGGGCCACCACATGCTGCCGCATGGGGTTGTCTTTTACGGGGACCGCAATGGGACTGGGCAGTTGTGGCCCTGTATAGATAGCGGCTCGGGAAATTCGATGGAAACAGCCTGAAGAGCTGAGGAGATGTGGCCACTGCCACAGAACCATGGGAGAGTCGTGCTGTTGTCACTGCCTGGCGTCTTAAATACCCGTCTACCTGTGTGTGTTTCCCGCAGATCTGCACCCCTGACCTGGTGGTGTTCCTGGCCTGTGCCAACCAAAGGCTCAGAGAGAGATTAGCGAAGCGTGCAGAGCAACAGGGACGGCCCGATGACAATCTGAAAGCCACCCAAAGGAGACTAGTAAACTTCAAGCAGAACGCTGCGCCGCTGGTGAAATACTTCCAGGAGAAAGGACTCATCATGACTGTAAGTCGGCTTCATTGGGGCACGGCCGCACAAGAGTGACCTTTTAGACCTCTAATCGGCCTGTGTTCTCTCTTAGAAAGTCCCTTGACTTAAGGAAGTGGCTCTGGGGACAGCGTGCAGTATCAACTCAAAAAAAAATTCTTTTAAAGCAGCCGTTTTTAATATTCCTTGGTTCAGTCCTAATGATCTTTTTTAAAAAACTTTGCATTTTAGTTTGCTTTTTATAAGGGAGAATGTGTTGATCTTTGTCTACAATCCCATGTCATCCAAGTTTAAAGTGTTTCGAAGTGACAGTCTGCGTAGTTTCCAGCAACATGTGCCCACCTCTCTGTTGACCACACGTAGACTTAGAGACAGCAGCTGGCTTGTGTGGCGGGAGACTAATTTTTAAGTTGGGACTTTGTCGTGCACCATATGAGGTAACAGACCCAGAATTCACCGTCATGTTTCCTGTTGGTTTGACTTGTCGTAAATGAGGGCTGGTATTGAAATGGGGGTGTGTGTGTCCACCTTTCTGCTCCTGTAATACAGGGCAGTGTACGCACACACGTGTCAGAAATAGCATTTTCCTGCGTTCTCATCGGTTCTGTGGTTACTGGGGTTCAGTGTGCCAGTGAAGGATGGTACACCCGGGGTCTGACAGCGCCCCGGGTCTGGGATTCAATGGTCAGTCACAGCAGAGACAGAGATCACAGGCCACAAAAAAAGTCCCTCATGCCACAAAGGCCACAGTGGCTTCCTGGCAGCTGGACCCTGGTGGGCAGCATCAGACTTTTCTTTCCTGCCCTCCGCCCCTCCACCCCAGGCTGAGAGTTCTTGCCTATGGCCTGGAACGCTCAATGGTGGATCAGGTGAAAACAACGTATACCCGTCCCACTTTCCAGGTTTTATGTAGAGACTGAAGTGCATTCCCGAAACTCCTGTGACCTAACGATGCCTGTGCTAAACCGTCTCTTGGTGGCCTTTAGAACTAAGGAGACAGCTGTGGTGTTTGGATGGCACTCTTTTCCGTCTTGATATATTCAGTGAGATGTGTGCTTTGAGTCAGAGTTGTAAATCTGGTCTAGAGATGACGTCCCATGCCAGGGGTCATTTATGTTTTGGCTTAAACAGACACTGAGTTCTAGGAACGATCTGAGAACATTGGGGTGAGTTTTTCAATGGCTCTGTGCATGTGGGGGGGCACGCGTGCATAAGTGTGTGTGTGTGTGTGTGCCTGGGTGTGTCTTATTTTTGTGTGTTTTTCTCACACACCAGCGCCGCTGACTTCTACTTTGCTCTATGGTAAGAGAAATGAAGCCCTCAGTGTAAATCCCAACTGCAAGGAGCAAAGCCAGAGTTTTAATTGATATGTACAAGGCTTAAAGGTATTACCAGAGTGCGAGAATGACTCCCTGTGTTCCTCGCCGCAAGCTAAACAGATTTCCCCAAAGGATGCAGAGTGAGGAACGTTAATTTACTAATATTTTGCATGGAGGTGAAATGCCATTGCCTGTAATTGAAGGAGGCAGTAACAATAGAGCTGGCAGCCCGTGACCTCACCGCTGAACCCAAATGAGTTCTCAGATAAATACCTCTAATTACTGGCAGGGAAAAAAGAAAACTTGCCTCGAAAAGTCACCTTTTGGAAACTAAGGAACACAGGCTGAGCTCCCAAGAGAGTAATTTGGAAAAAAAAAACCAGCCTGACAAAGACATTAATACTGTCTCCCGAGACACGTGTTCTCTTTCAGTACTGGGGTAACAGTTCCTTTTCAGAACTGAAATTTGGGGGCACGTCTGCTTTTAAAGATGAGCTAGCTAATAAAAACGATCCTCTCTATTCATCACAGTCACGTTAAGATTTTAATAGGCTGCACTCATAGTTTCCCTTTTCTCTGTCCCCCCCCCCCGCCTGAGCTCCTAATGGCTTCCTTCGCTGCTCGCGTAGTAAACGGTCACTAAGAAGTTACTCCCCTAGTTGTCAGGGCTGTGGTCTGAGGAGGCGGCTCCCTGGGTAACAGTGCTTACTGAGTTCAGGGTCTGTCGCCGTTTGCTTTTTGTTGCTGTTATAACAACCACAACTGAAAGCAACGAGGACAGGGAAGGGTCCATCGCACCTTTTAGGTCATGATCCATTAGCGGGGAAGTCAAGACTGGGATTCAAGGCAGGACCTTGAAGCAGAGACCCCAGAGGAACGGTGCGCTCTGCCTTGCCTTCCTAGGCTTCTTCAGCTACTCTTCTTCCACAGCCCAGGTCCGCCTGCCTAGGGATGGCCTTGCCCACGGTGGACTTAGGCCCTTCGGCTTCAATCCGCAATCAGGAAAAGGTCCCCAGGGGCCAGGCTGTCTGATGGAGGCAATTTCTCAGTTGAGACTCTGTCTTCCCAGGAATGTCTAAGTTTGTGTCGAGTTGACAATAGCCGAGGCGGATACCCAGCACCCGTATGTAAAGCTAGGCGTGGCACTGGGGGTGGGGCAGAGACAGGAGGCCTGCCGGAGATGCCTGGTTGGCCCTGTAGCCTAGCTGAAAATCAGAAGACTCGGTGGGGTTCGGTCAGGGACCTTGTCCTGGAAGAATAAAGCAGATGATGGTGTAGGACAATTGACTCCCTCCCGATGCACAGTATATGCAACTACTCACACGCATGTGTACACTACACACAGAAAATAAAACAGTAAAGCCTCTTGGCTTCTTCATTGTCTGTTTCAAGCTCATAGAGCAGTGCTAGCCCAGGACATAGTGTGTTCCCAGTACATGAACAGTGTCTAGTCCGTGGGAAAAGCCTATGAAACCACGAGCTATGGACTTTGAGGACTGACGGATCCCTGAATGTGAGAATGGTTTCTCACATACTCTTTGCATTCCTGGGGACTGGAATTCCCTGCAACAAGCAGAACAGGCTCCTCCCCGTCCGTGGGTAGGTGTTAACCACTTGTCTCCAAGCAAGCCTCCTGAGGACCACAGTTCCTTGGAGTTTGAAACCTCTCGCGGAATCTCATGGTGCCCCACAAGGTGTGGCACAGCTGGGGAGAGGGTGACGCCGCCCTGCAGTGTGATACAGGAACAGTGAGAGAAGAGAGGTGGCGTGATGGTGGGTGACAATGCCGAGACCACGTTCAAGGCTCACCAGACGTCTCCATTGCATGCTTCAGATGCCCGTGGCATCGCTCAACACCCACGTAGCCTGGAGGTGGCGTACCTTCTCTGTACCTCACATGCCTTAGCTGTAGAGTGGATCCCATCCTCCCCTCTGTCCCCTTGTGGTCACGAACTTCAACTTGATGACATATTGTAAAGGGCCCCTAGATTGTGGTGCGCATCACTTGGTTGGTTGATAGCATTTCATGGTTTCTGTGTCTCTCCTTGGTTTCTTTTCCTCTGCACCCTCTAATGGTCTTCTAGGTTCTAAAGCTCTCACAAGCAAAACCATGTCTTTTGAAGAAACTACTGCTGCTCCCCCAATGGATGTTACTGAAGAAACCCCAAATTAATAATGCAGGGGCCTAAACCTTCGTGCCAACTTACTTTTTTCTCTTTAAGTACAGCTGTTGATGAATTATGAAGTTGACCCGATGGCTTTGTTTGGCTGCTTTGTGGTGGATTCAGCCAGGAGTCTTGTGTCTACCAGTCAACCCCACCACCACTGAGCTTTGTCCCCGGCCAGGCATTTCCTTACAGCCATATTGTCTGCATAATCAAGGTGTATCTGAATAGTGTTGTTGAATTTGACATCAGCCCGTTTTTTCCTACTTCTTCATTGACTGTGTGTCTGTTGGTAGCTGTGACTAAAGACAAACAACACAAAAACGAAACCACAGAGGGATAGTGTGCCATTGCCTGGTCATGATCTTGTCAACGTTCTTCCCATTACATTGAGTTGCTCAGAACATCATTTTCTTAAATGTTTGTGCATGCAGTTTTGTTTGCAGGCTGAATTTAAGTGATAGGAAATCTGAAGGCTGGTGTACTGGGTCCCTGTGGAATTGTTTTCAGTGTGTGGACTTTTGCTCACTGTACTAATTTAGGTATCATTTCTTTACATTCTTTATTGTTCCCTACATTTTAAATTAAAGAGTGGGGTGTTGGGAGTTCCTAGAGTCTGTGAAATGTCTTTCATGAGGATGTAGGTATTTGGTGCTGAGTGACTCCCATGACATGTCTGGTGCTTGGACTTATGAACTGCATTGCTATTTGATAATAAGTTCCCTTTTACAGATGGTTGAAGTCTCAACATAATTTTGCTGTTACGTTAATTTTAAAACTAAACAAAAGCAAATTGATTTTGTTTGAGTAGTCATTAGTTAAGAAGTCTTCATAATTTTGTTTCTTAGCTTTTGTGGTGTTGGTGATCAAAGCCCCTGCCTGTGGGTGCTGGGCACATGCTCTATTGCAGTTATGTGTAAATGTGACAGACTCCAGAGGTGTACATGAAGATTTTACTTTTAAAGGAAGATGCTTTAAGTGCTTGAAAACAAAAGCAAATGCACCGTCCATTACTTGCTAAAATGCTAGGGAGACAGCGGCGGACCTAACAGCACTGAATGAATCTGCACTGAATGAATCTGCTCAGCACGGGTGATAATTAGGGCCCGTGAGATGGCACAGCCAATAAGAGCGCTTGCAACAACCCTAACAACCTGAGTGTGATCCCCTGGCCCCTCATGATGAAAGGAGAGAACACACTCTCCCAGGTTGTCCTCTGTCTGCCACATGCATGCCATGGCATACATGTACACACACATGTACATACATACACACATACACATATACACACATACACATGTGCATAACACATACGTACACACACGTGCACACGCATACACAGTGCACACATGTACACACACGTACACATGTGCATACACACATACATACACACACGTACACACACATACACAGTGCACACATGCACACACATGTACACATATACACACATACACATGCACACACATACACACTCACACACACACACATACACGCACACACATGTACACACATGCACACATGTACACACATACAC